GACGTCGAACCACGGACCACTTCATAACCCCTTTTTTGGTATTCAGAGGGCCGCTCAGGAAAAATGAACTATAGTTCTGTGTTCCATGCATGTGCCCCTATATCATGCAAAAAACCGTTTTGAGAAAGCTGGCATTTCCTGAAAGACCTTCCTCGTTAGTTCACTTTTGTAGTGTTCTACCCGATTTTCTTATAAAGTTTTGCATTTTGTTGTTTACGTTGTGGCAGCGTTTTGGTGTTCTTTTTCGTGTGCTTTTTGTGCATGCAAATAAATAAACAAATAAATAAATACGTTCCTGTTCAAAAATGCGGCGCGCCACCCTACTTGTACAGCGCCGAAGAACGAAAACTATTGGGAACTTACAACGATCTGTCGTGCTGCTTGGCAACTCTGAGCACAGCTAGCGTCGCATCGTTGCTGACAGGGCAACATCCAAGGGATATTTTGGCATGTACTCATGCAGCCGCTCTTACAACCACTGGTACAAGCCGACATTGGCGTCACGGCCTGACATTGAGCTCCACATGCAGCTTGGCATGAGTTCATGCACATCGACGACATGCCGCATGAGGCTGCACACTGCTGGGTACATTGATTTTGACATCCTCCAGTAGAATACTAAAACATCAAAGGTACAAGCGAAACTGCGAAGCATTGTAGGCGAACATATTGAGCGATTTAGAAACCATTAATTTCACAAAAGTTAGAACAGTGGAATGACAGGGGTAGCCGACTGTAGCCATGACAAAACGAGAAAATCACTTCGCACGACGACTTTTAGCCATCGATATCGACTAGGCATTGGCTCCAATATCGACTACAGTGAAGTAGATCATCAAACACGACAATTTCTAGTTTCGACATAGAGCTACTATCTGTTCTCCAGAATAAACAACGTGCACGCGACGTGGGTGCGCCAGGAGATCCTGTTTAAGCTTCGCTGCATCGGGGCCTCCTGACACACCCAAGAACGTTGGATCTTTTTTTGACATTTTAGGCGTGTTGTTTGCATTTTAAACATGTTTTAGTTGGTTTCAGCATGGAACTCACATAGCCACCGAAGCTCCCACAAACATTACCGCACGTTTGCAGGCAGTTACAGTTTCCTGATCCACATCCTGCATAGCATGATTGCAAGCAATTGCCACATGCAGACTGGAAAACAAAAGGATTCAGTAGAGTGACGGGAAGTGCAAATGCAGTGTGAAGCCCTTTCCGGAGTTTGCCGTTTCAAGTGAAACTCAGTACCCACACGAGAATTAAAGGCAGTGAATACGATGAGTAGAAGGAGCAGCGGCTCCGATGACGTCATTGAACTCAATGGTACAAAAGCGTAGGGAGGTGATGCCAACCACAGTCAGTCGTTTATTAGTTTGGTGCGCGAATACGTTTAATGACGTCACCATAGTCGCTCCGCCCTCCTGCGATCGTGTTCACTGCCTTTAAAATTTTTTGCTGATTCATTCTATATCTGTTACAAAACACTTACATAAGTATTCATAGCAGTCCCTCCATAAGTACCCATACGAAAGCCACCGCAGACACCACCACACGTTTGTTGACAGTTACAGCTGCCTGCACTACAACCGGCGTAACATGATTGCAGACAATTGCTGCATGAAGACTGCAAATGAATTTAAATCAAATTCTTGTTAGGAGACGTTTGCTCAAAATACTTACATAAGATCCCATTGCTACGCCTCCGCAGACGCCACTACAGGTCTGTGGGCAGTTACAGCTCCCTAAGCTACAGCCAGCATAGCACGACTGTAGGCAACTGCCACATAAAGACTGCAAAACAAGTCGAAATGAGCACCACGTCCAGGAAACATAGGTGCAGGCTGGGTGCCGGCAGAAGGCACAGCGGACGGGCGCGGCAAAGGCCGTCGCGCGCACAGCGCTCGATTCCAGGGTCAACTATGCGTTTGGCAGTTCTCAAACGGGGGGGGGGGTCGTGGTATTTTGAGTTGATAAAGGTGAAAAAGTCGAAAAGGTGGTTGTATCCGCGGAAGTACAAGGGATTGTGACGGTGGCAGAAGGAGTTATCTCTACCCGACTGTCTGACGACTATGGGGAAAAATAAAACTTCATGAAAGAAGCAAGGACTCAAGAACTACCGAAATTTAGAGGACTACTAGAGGATTCCTCATGTCTTCAGATCGGGGGGGGGGAAGTGGGTGGAGTTGGGCTGTGTCGAGGGGTGCCCGAAATCACATACATACTATAGAAAGAGCCTATGGTGATGAGGGTGATGGTTGAGGTTGGGGTAGAGGGATCGTATTGGGAGCCTCATAAGGCAGATGATGGTAGTGGGGTGGTCTAGACCTCCCTAGGAAGGGGTTGTAAAATTTTCGAAATCTGCTAAATGCACGGTTGACTCTGCTTGCCGCCTAGTGCCATCTGCCACGTAGGGATGTATTCGGTCAAACTCTCCCCCGTCCACCTTTGAGAGCTAGTCTGATAAGCTCTACGTGGAAGGTTACCAAATAATATCTTCCCTTCTTCTCGCTTTTATTTGCCTTGCACGAAGGGTTATGAACCTGGCGTGGGAAAGCTTTCACAACC